CTCCTCATTACCAGAAAATGAAACTATAAAAGGTTGATACGTAATAATATTGTAGGTAAACCTAAGCTAAACAACCATCTTAACAGGATGAATTGATCTAGTCTAAAGATCTATAACAAGTTTTACTTCAAACTCATGGGATACTCATCTAAACCTATTGTACCCAAAAGCTGTACTTACCTGGCTTGAATGGAATCATATCCATAGCTTGAATAGCTGAATTTTTACACTATTGTCCACTGATATTCAAATATACAGGGTGATTTATTAGCTTACTATCAAACTTTGACATATGATAGCTAAACCAATTACAAAAAAAAAATGTTAATGAATATATGTCCTATTTCAGTAATTTACAAAATTATAACACTTTAAAGTTTTGGGCAGCGAATTTATTAATAGTCATTAATCAAACATTCAACAAAAACAAAGTTGTCATTGTAATATGTCAGTTTGCTGTAAGGTTTAATTATCACATACAAGAAGCATCTCAAAATGTACGCTTATAGCACTGAAGAGTATGCTGATATAATTTTCGTGTGTGGCTTTTGCAATGGAAATGCTCGACAATCAGTACGAGAATATCAAGAAAGATTTCCACAGTGTCATTTGCAATATTATTCAGTTTTTTAGCGATTCTTTCAGAAGACTTCGAGAAACAGGTAATCCTGCTCCAGCAAAAGCTATTCGACCGCATGTAGTTAATGAATAGAACGAAGAAGCTGTAATTAATGCTCTCATTGATAATCCTTCCATCAGCACTCAAAGAATAGCACACAACATACATGTAAGTCAAAATTTTGCATGGCGCTTATTGAAGTCCATCATCCGTATCGTAAACAGAATGTCCAAGCTCTACAGCCAGGAGATAATCAGCAATGGTTAGCATTTTGTGAATGGTTATTGCAGCAACATGTCCAAAATAATGACTTCATTTCAAATGTTCTCTGGACAGATGAATCATGTTTTACAAGAGATGGTATAAACCATTACCATAATGAACATATCTGGGCATTGCAAAATCCGCGTGCGATTAGACCAAGGAAATTTCAACAACGTTTCAGCATCAACATTTGGGGTGGAATATTTAACTACTATTTTACTTGATGGACGTTTGAACGCTGTAAATTAGATTTTTTTTGAACAATACACTTTTTGATTTACGTAAGATACACCTCTTAATGTAATTCAAAATATGTGGTACCAGCACGATGGTACAAATTGTGTATCAAGTGGAAATTAACACACGAGAACAGTTATTAAACAGAATACAAATGTTGCTACTGAAATAAATCAACCAGACATTTTAATTAATTCGGCTGAAGAACTCTTTAATTCGTCGTTGTGAAGCATGTATTCTAGTAGAAGGAGGCTATTTAGAACAATATTTGTAATATTTGTGTTTAAAAAAAAATGTTGCAGTTAATTATGATATAAAAATTAAAACTTTAAAGTGTTATAATTTCGTAAATAATTGAAATAGGACATATGTTCATTAAAATTTCTTTTTTGGTAATTGGATTAACTATCATATGTCAAAGTTTGATGGTGAGCTAATAAATCACCTGTATATAAACATAATATATTCTCCTAATCCTCAAAAATTATTAATATTTCAAAATTTATTTAAATTTTTTATATTTGTTAACTCCCTCGATTTATTTCATTTTGTTTACTTTTATATTTTAAAGTTTTTATATTAAAGTTTTATTAAACATTTTTATTTAATTTTGCCTTTTCATTAATTATCTTTTCTTTTTCTCTTCTTACACATCTTTAGTAGCTAAAAATAAAATAAGTTTTAAATTAGAAAACGCAACTTCATCTTTTTTTTTTTTTTTGAAAAATAAAAACTATTTAATTTTTTTTCTCGCTGTATAAAAGAAATTTGGAAATAATAAAAAAATTTATTATAAAAACATTAAAGGTTCTTTAATAAAATAAATAAATTTGACGTTCTTCGAAATAGGATATAAAGTAAAAGGGTTTACCGAATACGAACATCCTCGGGTTTTGAATCTAAAACCTGGTTGACAGATTTTATTGAATCACTCGTACACATAAAACTAATCACAATATTTACAAATATATTCACATTGAGATGTTCTATAATTAATTAATTAAAAAAAAATCCCAGAACGTCGAAAGAGACCCGTATAGTGAATCGTATTATTATATTTATTTAGAAAGTAAATAATACCACATTCTACAATGGGGGGACTTCCGTTGCCACCATAAAAACGCACTGATTTGCACGAAATTCTAAATTTCCCATATTTTTTTTAAGTTTATCAGTGCATTTTGGAGTCAACAGAAGACTAGTTATGTTATTATTATAATAATCAATGCTGAAGCATTTTTTGTATTATAATATGTACATCTTTTTTTAATTTTTTTTTGTTGTGGGAGTAAATGCAACATAGTGTTGTTATATAGATTTGTACTGCAAGACTTTTAAATAATAAAAATAGCGGATTCTTTTATTATAATAAATATATCATTTCTTTTTTAATTTTTTTTTCTTTCGCAGGTAATACCTAAAGATACTTTCAGACTAGACGCGCCGAAAAGAGCAATAAGTACAACGTGGTGTGTACTGTTAATCATCAACAAGTAATTGAAAAGCAATTTTACATACCATTGAGTTCTATATTATCTGGAAATTTAGGTATACTGTTTTCAACATTAAGAAATATAAGTAGAAAAAAATTTGAGTTCGTTCTGTATTTGATAGCAATCTGCTGAGATTAGCACTCCATTGTGTCCATTCTTAGAAAGTAAAATACGATTCCAACAGTTGTAATGGGAATAACAAAAAGTTTTTAGAATATAATCGTCATTGAAAGCGAATACCAACAAGCTATGCATAATGTGTGGAATTGCGAAGGAATCCGGCTAGTATTTATTGTAACTTGCCCTGAACCTGGAATAAAGCGATAACAATCCTAAAATCTGCAGATATTTTATTTCAGGAAACGAAACGCTACATGATGAAGGCAGGCAAGGAGACCTGAATGAAGAAAATAGAACATCCTCAACATTATAAGATGTTCTAGTAAGGAATGTTAAAAAAAAATAACAAAATACCAGACATGAAATTCCTTCTGAAATATATAAGTACACAGTTTGTCGTGCAATATTTCTTCTTTATACTGCCTACAAAATAATAATAATATTATCAACAAACGTCTTAATCCCCTAGCTGAAGGTATTACAGACAGAGTTTAGACATGGCAGATCCACTGTAGATCAGGTATTCTAGCTAAAGCGTGGAAATACGAAATCGACGCTCAATGTGTTTATCAACTTAAAACAGGCACCACCAGCGACTGTACAGATACAAACCAATGGACGTTTTAACATACTAAGGGGGCTAAAATAGGAAGGTTTATTCAATTTGGCATTAGGTAGGGAAAACTTAACAACTAAAACCGTGCAATTCTATAATTTCATTATGTGTAGACAGAATGAGTCGGCTCTGCAGATATACTCAGAAATGAATACACATGCCATTGAAGTCAGATTGGAAATCAATACAAAAACAACAATGAGTAGATGAGAATTGGTTGAGCAATTTGTACACTTGGGGAAGAATCTGAGCTTGGTTGGAACAGAAAACAGAGTATGTAAGACAATTATAAAACCTTGGACAATAACAGAGAGCACACAAAAAAATAAGCATATTTGAGAGTATATTTTATAAATAACAAGGAATTGTTTCTACTCAAAATAGCATCAAGAAGCCCCCCTCATATGGTTCATCAGATTTCAAAGGCTGCAATGGGCAGAACACTTTAGCAGGAGAGAAGAAGTAATGATAATCGCCCTTCAAAAGAATTCTCGGGGCAGATCACGAAAGCGCTAGAAAAATGTTGAGTCTGATGATGCACGCAAACTGCTGAGGAAGAATCTTGCGCTGCGAAGCAGCAGACAAAAAGGAATGGAGGCAGAAGATAAAGTTAACACAATTTAGGCTGTAGTGTCATAGAATGGAAAGATTGTATTGTTCAGAAATCAAATATCATCCTTTTTCAATCCCATATTTTTGTTTGACGTTTTTTATTTGAATGTATTTTAGGCAATTAACTGTAAATAAATAAATGAATGATTACATCTAAATAAAAATAAATGTCATTTGGCTTTCATTTCAATTTTTCCAGTTAATTAAAATTAACTAGTATTTTCGTAAAGTTACAGAAATTAATTAAATACCTCCAGTTAATATGGAACTCAATGATTTACGCACAATTCGTACTCACTTGTGCGCGATGTTTCACTTTGATCTGGACGTATCTTAAGAAATACAATACAAGAAAAGATCTTTTCTAAAAAACATAGGCTATGTTGCTTTACATCAAGTTTTTTTATTGAGTATAAAATTAACAGCCTAAATAATATAATTTATATAGTTGTTTTTTCTTTACGTTTCATTATCATTATTATTATTACTCCTACATTTACTTACAGTTAACTAACGTTTAAAAATGTACACAATCACATAGCGAGTTGATTTTTCTTAATTATTAATAATAATAATAATGTTTGAATCCTTTAAATTTATTTTAATAAGCTGTTAATTTTACGTCAATCTTAATTTCATGAAACATAGAAAGAGGAATGTGTCTTACATCCTAATTTAGCTTGCACCATTGATTCTATCGTTTTTTATTTAAATTTTTATTTTTCATTTTAATTTTCGTTAAAAAATAAGTTTGAATCACACATTACCGTTTTTATTATTCCCTTTTCGCATATTTTTTGTTTTAATTTTATTTATCCTTTATTATCAATTTTTTTTTCAAGTTTTTTGTCGCTTTTAAAGTAAGTACCCTATGGTGTACAAAAATATATCTACAGGATTGATTGACCATTTAATTTAAATATACAATCGACGAGAATAAAAAAATAAGCGATGAAAAGCGGTCTTCGGTTTCGTGAGGGTTACTTTTTTGTGTTTTTCCATTTTCGGAAAAATTAAGAAAAAAAAAAAAGAAGTGACGTCATTCTAGGCAGTTTGTTTCGCTTTATTTCTTCCACTCTTAAACAAAATAGTCAATCACAGAAGAACTTGGTATCAAAATGTACAATATATACAAATGAATAATAAGATCTATATATACACGTTAAATAATTATTTTTTTACAAAAAATGTTGTATAATTCAAACCTACAAAGGAGCTTACTTAAAAAGTAAACACGCATTTTTTTATTGATTTATATTAAAAAAAAGAGAGCTAACTATAAATTTTTAATTTATACCAAATATTTTTCGTTATTTTTATTTCCTTTTTTTAGTTATATGCATTATTTTTTTTGTTTAGTTTTATTTTGTAACAGCCTTATTTGTTTATGCAACATACATATCTCGATTAATTTTTATTTTAAACGTAATTATTTTATTTTGAGGGAAAATAACATAAATGTATCGCTCAATATTTTTGTGTAGTTGAAAAAATAAGCAAAAATAATATTTATAAAAGTTCAGACACAGTTAATTGGACACATTATTTTTTTCTTGTTTTTTTGATACATTTAAAACAATTAACTAAACTATTTAAACTATTACACGATTAATAATTACTTATTTACGTTTAGTTAACCAAGAATTATTAATCGTTTAATCGTTTTCTTAATTTTTATTTTGTTATATTTAAACACTCATCCCTTTCCATTGAAAGGAAATACTTAGTTTTTAAGACGCTGTTGTCGACAGATTGAACGTTTTTTCTTCTTTATTATTTATGTGTTGTGTTTGTGAAATTAGTATTTACACTAAAACGACAGGAATTAATCGGCTAGATTATTCACTATTTTTTTTAATTTGTAAGTGAACACATTTCGCCCCATCATCTTAACATAAGACAAATTTTACGCAAATGGAAACAATTTTTACTATAAAATATATAAGTATACTATTTACAAGTATGGGACGAAATATGAAAAAAAATGTACATGAAAAATAAAAATAATTAACTTACGCGCTACGTTATAAATTTTTGTAAAAAAAATTCTTTGTAATAAATGTGTAAGTACATTCCACATAAAAAAAATGATCTTTTTTTCCGATTACTTTTTAAATTTCATTTCCGATGATACAAAACGTAATAAATTATTAACTAATTATATCAACAGCCTCTTGTATCCTTAAACGCTAAATAGATAGTTACGGTTACGGCGTTTATACCAAAAAACGAATAAATTAGAACAATACCGTGTTTATAAATTGTAATGGGACAATTTTTTTTTAGTTTTTAAATTTTTTTTTTAGTTTTTTAGCTAATTTCTTTTCCAAGATCGTTTTTATAATGCCTGTCATAATAAAGTATAGTTTATCTAAGTTGTAACTGATTAACAAATAAACGTAAAGTTACTTGATTTAAAAAAGTTAATTCAAATAAAAACAATTTCCAAAAAAATAAACTCACTTATTAATCTCATTTTATTTCTGTTAATCCCTTTTTTACTTATATCATCAATCAGTCAAAAAATTATAATTACACTTTATACTCAGTACTTTAAAAAAATTGCTTCACCATTTTCATAACCCATTTTTACAAATTATTTACATTTATAATCCTCAACAAATAATAAAAAAAAACACTTCTTTCATCAATTAAACTGAGCTAATACGAATCTAATACGGAGCGATAAAGAAGAGTTGTGAGATACATTTCAAAAATTTCACCATTTTTTAGTTTAGAAACGTGTTTGAGGTGAATGATATAAAGTTTAAAAAAAAATAAATTAAATCAGTTTTTGTTTTGTTTACCAGACAGGCATTTCAGAGAGTCCTTGAACCCAAATAAAAACGGACGTGAAAACGGTCCTGAAAAATCCATGATGCCATCCCGCTATCATTAAAAAAATGCGGGCTCGGCCATTGGCATCACGTCACCTCCATCGCCAGATTATTCTTGCGAACGATGGTCTTGTTTTTATTGTTGTTGGCGGGTGTTGAGTTCGTCTCGCATTGTGCGGCCACCACCTTTGTTGGTACTGAATCCGCGTCGTTTGAAATTGGTATTTCCAAGATATTGGCACTATAATTAACAAATTTATTTAAGTTTTTATCTACTTTGAAAAAATATATAAAAATCATAAATAAATTAAATCGAAAATGTAAAATATCTAGTTGTAGGAGTAAACAAGCTTTAAAGAATAATTTAAATTTTTTTTAAGGTCACTAGGAATAGAATGCCTTAAGCGATGCAAATTTATATAAGATTAATTTGTGGAAATCAAGCAGAATGTAATTTCCTTTGCTATGTTTTGTATAAATCTTAGCAAGTATTCCGCTTTATCCACGTTGAAAGGTGGTTTTCCTACTTCGTAACAAAAAGAATAAATTACATCGCTGGAATTAAAAAAATATTAATAAATCACTATTACTGTAGAATAATTTTAATGGAATACTCCGATTAGTTTAATGGGAAGAGCATACAAGCTGAAAAAACTCAGACACAAAATCTAAGTGAAGAATCTAATACAACTGACACCTCTGCAACAATATCCAAGGATTCACAAACACGTCATGTCAAAGCTACTCTCTAAAACGATTAAGGATGATTAACTTGGATAATTTGTCATAGATAAAAAAACCGTTATTCAACTCAGTCAGAAAATATTGCGTCAGTCATCGTTAAATTTTTAAATTTAAAAAACTCATTAACATCACCAGATCAGCTTCCACAATGCCTCGAGATAAATCCCAATATAAAAAAAACAGTTTACAAGAACATTGCATCAAATAGATGCAAGCACCACTTACAGAAATAAGCTTTTGTGAGCAGTTGAAGAAGACGATTTAGTATTCTTGGGAGTCCTGATAATTGAGGTAGTACTCTCACTCTTTATGGTAGCATATTCAATAATATTTTCATGTTTTCTAAAACTCATTCCTAGTGTCTTAATTCTACCCTAATATCTAAGGACTCCAAAAATTATCTGCTTTTTTAAAATTTACCGTCTCGCTTCTTAACTTTATTTGCAATCTCAAGTGAATAAGTGATCAACACCAATTTGTATCGTTATAAAATGTTATTATGACTGCTATTTCTTATTTTAATCATAACTTTCATCCGTTTTGTCATAGTGATGATGACAAAAATGTAATAAGTGAGATTTTTGGCAGTGTTCATTGCATTGTACTAACTACTGTTTAGATGATGTCATAATCAACTTACAACTTCAACAGTAATGAAACATCATTCCATGGTATGACATGTTTCTGAGTTGATCATTCTCATCATGATAACTACTGCAGAGTGGTGTACTTGACAGTATCCTGCAAGTTGCATTCCAGCATAAATCTCCATATGAGGCATGAAAAAAAAGATTGTTTCATCCACTGTAGCAAGTAGTTTTGTTCTGTATTTGTTTGGTTTATTTGGAATGTAATGCCTACTACATCTTTCGTGAAATGATATTCACATGCAGACACTACTATTTCTTTTTTAATTGAATTAAATTTTTTAATGATGTCCTTTATGGGAGTGAGTTTATCCAGCTTCGGTAGGTTCTTTAGTCCTCAACATTTCCAGGATCAATTTGTTCTCATTTTTTTTATCATCATTCAACTTTCTTAAAATACTAGCAAGCATGAATGAGGGGTTATTAGGGGTGGATAATATCCAGCGATATTTCCTAGTAAATCTAACTTGTTTCACTCCTCCTAGTTTAAAAACAAGGTTTCAAACAAAATTCGAGTTTGTTAGTAACTATGTTATTACATTACAACACATTATCAACTTGAAACTTAATTTTTCATAAATTAGAGTCTCAAGAATAAAACGTTGATACAGTTCCACAAAATCTGGAAAAGACTATTGGGGATTTTCACCAACAGAATATAATGTAATAACATTTATAATTCACTTTTGATCAAAAAACGATCGATGATTTCCTAATTATATAATTTTCTAGAGAAATTATATAATTTCTTAACAAATAAACTAGCGAACAACATCCTCAACATATACATCCTCAACCCAGGGAATCACAGAAATCCACAAGACAGTCTCAACATCATTACAACAAATTAATACTTTATCGACCAGTAGCCTATTAATTAATAAATATAAAAATATCTCAAGAACGAAGAAATGGATGGATATTATGTTGCTAGAAATGAAATTTTTTTTAGATCTAATTGTTCTAATGGGACAAGTAAAAAAAGACAGACTTCACGATTATTGGTCAACTGACCCAAGCATCGAAACCGTTTTTTCTAAAGTAATGAGCAGAACCAGCAAAATTCCTCTTTTTAAAACATAATTTGACCTTAACAAATTATGAACATCAATTAACTGTTATATACCAATATATAATTGATAATCACTACTAATATGTTTCAGTTTTGATTAAAATTACAATATGTATTTTTTTCTATAATATCTTCCCATTTGCCAGCTGCCACATTCCTCCTCAAACTCTAATAGCATGTATAAAATGTGCTGGAGCAAAATTATTATCGTAAATAATCCAAAAATTCAATCTGTAATTATTTCAAATCATACATGTATAGTTACATCTTTGTGTAATTGTCTAATTGTAATAAAAATATCGTCGTAAAACTTCTATTCTTATAAACCATTCACAAAATGTTCTCCTTGCTTAATGCTCAATAATCCTGTGGTATAAAAGCTTGTACCCAAATAAGACCTATTCACTAAAAGACTTCCAAAGATACAGTGGTTTACATTTGCTTAAATCCATATTTTCTAGCACTTGTTTATTGTAATTGCTGATGTCATTCTTCCAGTATCATATGAATCAATATACCTTAACAGATTAAGTCATTTGAAACAATACATGCGCAAGCAGTTGGCAATTGGGAAACATATCAACATATAAGCTAAGACGCACGAACAGCATTTCCATTGATCCAAATTGATCCACATATAGATCATATAAAAATGGGATGTGCCATCGCCAAGTTATTGGCCAAACATTGAATTTCCATATGTATTAGTAAAAATATTATACATCTATTTAATCATGTGACATGTCTTCAAAATCTTTAAACGTTGTTTAAAACATTTTTGCTTCTTTATGTGTGTCTTATTATAAATGATCATTAATTACTTCTATATATCTTCTTCTTTCCTACTTCAATACCACATATTTTACAACGACAGATTGCTTTGATACTGAAAGTAATACTTTATGCAATTTCACCAATAACTATGTGTTATTATTTGTGTAACTCGCATTTTTTACTCTATTACTTCCTCTAATGCGAAAATTGGGTGATATGGAAGTATTTTCAAAAACAACCAGGCCTAACATTTGATTAGAAGGATGGTGTAAACAACACCTCCTACAAGTGAGGACTCTAAACACCAATTCATAAAAATTAACATCATAATATGTTAATAAAATGGCTCACATTGTTAATAGCAGTGGTGAACAAAGACTATCAAAAGCATAAATCATCATGAATCAAGTTTGTTAACATATGAAATCAGGAGTATAAATAAATAATCCTAAATTTTTACTTACCTATGACTATTAAGCGTAACAGTATGGGCTGAAGTGAGTAGGCTCAGTGCATTTGTACCTGCGCTCCCAACTTCGCCGGTATAAGCGTATAATTTCTTATTTAATTTTGTTCTAACACAAGGAGATACTGTAAAAAAAATGATGAAATGAGTAAAGAAATTAATAATTATTGTGGCAATAAACTAAATGAGAAATAACTCAATCACAATACACATTTATAACGAATTCCCTAAGAATATGAATAATCCCCTAGTTAACTTCAATGAAAAACCTTCAATTCAAATTTATTACCCATTGTATACACGTGAAACAAGTAAATTGTTGTTGTGATAGATGGAACTTTAATGGATTTTCAAGAATGTGTTTCTTTTAAATGATATACTTGGTATTAGTACTTGTATCTAAAGGATTTGCTGGAGATGATTAATAAAATTTTCTAAAATTGTAAAAACTGAATAAAAATTAAAACTTACCGTCCATTCCGAACTGAGAAATAATACCATTCGCACTATTCCCATTGTTACCGCAATCGGGTGCGAGTGTTGAGGACGACCTCTGTCGTACATCGGACGCGACATTAACACTATCTAACTTAGGACTAGTCGCGGTATTCGCGAGTGACGGGACCCTGCCACCGGTCGAAGAAAAAGAACCCGCACTCCCATCGACGTCGATTATGGTGAACCTAGAGCAACCTATAGTTCGTTCCTCGCCGCCACCAACACTAACTTTTTCATCCTCTCTAGGATTTACACACGGTGTCGTCGTCGGAGTTTCTGCTGTCGCGTTCGCGGTAATAAGCGTATTATGGGTCGTCGGGGCTGAGCCCTCGACGGTTTGCCGGGTGTCTGTTACAGGCACGTCCAGACAACCGTCCAGCGCGAGGTCCTCGTAAAGGAACGTGCCGGTCACGAACGTTGAATTGTCCGCCAGCGCTGACGTTACGTCGTCAATGCCACGCAGCTCCAACGTAAACGGCGTATTGGAACTTGGTATAAAGGTGTTGTCTTCAGGGGGAAGAAGATGACAGGGTGGTGTGTAACCAGGAGAAGGTGTTTTTGGTCGAAAATGTAACCTGAAACAAATCAAAATAGGCATTAATTGAGAATCCTAGAATATAAAAAAATGTATATGTAAGTTTTGGCGACAATCACACTTGTGTGGGCGGGTATAAAAGTCAATGTACTTTTGCAATGGTTAAAATAAATTTGCATTTTCGCGTAGGTGGCGTTACTTAAATAGAATTTCTCACATAATAATTAAGTTTCGTTTATTTACTGTAGTAAATAGAAATAAAAAATGTTAAAAAAATTAAATGCTTACCAATCCTTTTGTATGGATTGCATAAACTCCACCATTTCATCTTGATCCTCAGGGGTATGTTCAGACACCTCCATCACTCTCGAGACTTCCTCTGCCACCTCTTCAGGCTCCTCTTTAACCACACTCTTCACAAAATCACCGTCACAGTTTAAAACACCAAAACTTGTCCGCGATTCATCACCAGCTTTCACAAAATTCGAGTTTCTGTGACCGACATCGCTATATACATTTGTACTAAACGAATCCTTCAAACGAATTCCCTCTTCTGGGGTGTTCGTCGTTGCAGGCTTTTTCGTCGTCGTCCCATCGTATATCGTAAAGTCCAACCCGCGCCAGAGTTCATCGAAATCCGTCCGGAGGCGATCAAAGATCACCCTACCGCCACGGCCCATTCGCCTTCGAGCGAATCCAATACACCGTCGTGGATTGGACAATGACGTTAGCGTGTATCGGTAACGTTTGTCAGCCGAACCGTTTTCTTCTTTTGAACACCACGGCCAGTTACCCATTGGAATAGGCTAAAAAGAAATCACATTATTATTATTATCATAAAAAAATTTTAGCATAAATAATTTAAAAATTTATTTACCATATGGTAGCTGCACAGTTTGTTCCTTCTAAAAGCAAACTGTCCATCTTCCTCAACCTCTTCAGGTTCAGGTGAAGCTTGCGGTATGGGTTCTTCATCAGAAGAAAGAACACCTAAACCTTCAAGACCAGCTCCACCAATCCCCAACATTCGATTGTGACTTAACGATTTGTGCTTGCGTTTCTTGTACTGTCGTTTTTCCTTACGCGGTATAATCTAATAAATTTACAACAAAAATAAATTTTAGAAATTTAATAAATAGAAGTAAGTCTTTTTTCTTACTTCGTCCTTCATAATACTCTTGGTCCAATTCTGATTAGCATAATGATTCTGAAAGATCGGAGTAAACGCGGGTCTTGGCGCCTTAATTACCGACAATTCGGAAATAATGGCACCACTAAAGTCTTTAGCTTGGTACCGTTTTTCAAAAATCTCCACCGTCAGATGGACGTATTCGCGTTTTATTTTCTCGCGGCGTTTCACGAAATCGAGAAGCGTGACCGCCCGCGACAGATCTCGACGCAATTTCAACATCTTCTCGTACGAGGTCTCGTCATTTTTCCGGTTCTTTCGCGTTTGCATCTTTTCGGTTCGTCGTCTAAACGCTAGGTAAGGATTGTTGGCCGCTGTTCCTACTCGGTGTTCCGTTTTTACAGACAAAATTAACGGATGTTGCTAATAAGTAAATCACAACAAAAAAGAAACAATTTAATTTCAATTACAAAAGAAAAAAAAAATATCTACTTATAAATAGAATTTTTACCAATTTCAATCGTTTATTTAACCAATAGTCGAATACTGCAATAATGAGATCATCGTCTTCTTTTAGGAGAGCTTTTGCTTCGTTTAACGTCACCACCGTTTGTCCGCTGCTTTTTTCCAATCGGTCCATCATTTCTTCAAATTTCAGTGCGGATAATTCGATGCGTTTTGTTTGCGAGTCCAACCAACGTTCATCGTCAGAGTCCATGTCGTAGTCAGGTATATCTTGTTCCATAGTGAAGGCTGCAAAATCAAATTGTTTTTTAATAAATAACAATTATTAATATCTTTTTTATTATTTTTATCATCAATTCACTTTTCCAAAGTAATTCATTTAGGATATACTTTATATTTAAATTAGATTTGAGATATGAATTTATAACTGTGTTCATTGTACATTTACTCATAATAATCAAAGTATGAAAAATAATGTCTTATAAATTTTTTATCCATGGTAAGAATAATAGATACATGAATCAGATTTTGTAATTAATACGTGTATATCACATTACCATAACCGTCTGTTTAATTGATAAGAAAATATCACAATTGTTTTTATCAACAAACTAGAATAAACAGACCAGTCAAAGAATATGTTATTCTTTTGCACCCTATCAGTTACTAATACAATTAATATCTGGGAATCATTTTAGATAGTAAGATGATGAAATTCCTGATGAGTAACCATTGGGACGACTTTGGGCTGAATTCCCAAAGTTATATATTTAGCCATTAACCTATTTCAAAACAAATGTTGAGTCTTTTCAGCTTGTTACTGTTGTTATACAGGTTGGATTTCAGGTTGATATGCCAAACAGTGGAACTAAACGTTATTTCACTGACTAAAACTTCTTTTTTCAAACATGTTCAAATAGAAATAAAAATGTTATTTAGAGGTAGGTTACTTGGACAAGCTTTAAGACTAACCAGCATAATAACTTTCCATTTCTATAATTTACTTTTAATTCATCTCAATAACTAGAGGTATATCTGAACCCAATATTGATGAAGTTTGATACAGACACAATCTGAACTAATCTAAGGTTGAAATATTTTTTTATACAGAGTATAAAACAACATAATGGAAGATATTCATACAGATTTTGTGATTAATGGACTGAATTACAATAGCTGATATATTCTCCTACATGATTCAATTCGAGAGCACTGCCAGCTGTGGGCCATTATTTTATTCAACGCAACCCTGACCCAAAGCTGAGTAGCAGCTCATTGAATAAAAGAATGTCATTTTGAGAAAGATTCTAAATTATGAAATAAAGATTTGAATGGGAATAATCCTACTTTCTATATGTACAGATATGCTAGTAGAAAATCAAGTATTTATATCTTTTGATGATGGGAGTCATCAAAGGACAAAGAGACCAAATTCTACTCGCGTGTCAAGGGTTGAACCAAATATGGAGTATTTGGTTTGCATTTTTGCAAGGATTATAAGCAAATAATCAGGTTTGGGATGACAAATATTATTAATTATATACAAAATTCATCTATGGAATAACTAAACATGTTTGTGTAATGTTTCAAAATGAAGGAATTGAAAGTAGATGAAGCAAAGAAAATTCGATTTTGATTGTCAATAGAGGAACATCTATGTATCAATATACTGTATTATGATATTATAAGGATGTAAATTATGCTGGTGGCAAAAAAGAATCGTTATCCAGATCTTCTATGCACAATTGTTATACTAATAAGTGTTAGTATAACACTACAAAGTTTACTTGACCACACTACTAAGAGAGTTTTTAAAACAAAATGAATGTAATTCAGTATAAATGTGTAAGTGGGATGATGGCTCATCAGGAAAATATCAATATAAACAGATTCTACCAAGCGAAACAGAAGAAACATATAATACAAATTACACTACATTCTGCATATCAAGTTTGTATTATACAGTTTGCAAAAAAAGTTATGAAAAACGCGAGATGTTTTGGTGCATATTATATTGAGTCACAAATCGAACAATTTTCGCCACTGTGAAAGACAATTTAATATAAAATATCAATTATTTTTTACAAAGGTAAATGAAAAAGTATGTAATACATTAACAGATATTCCTTCTGCATTCACTTGTATGGTAGCCATTGTCAAACCAACAGAAATGAATGAAATAAATACAAATTTGGTCTTTCATCATAATCTATTAATTAAAAAGCCCCTGACACTTTACAGCAAGTTGTAATGTAAAGTAACAAAGAAAAAAGATTTTGACAAATTTTGAGATGAAGTAGGTAGGTATAATTGTTGATAAATCATGATTATATTAATACATCTATTTATTTAGTAACTCTACACCAATTTAATCTTATGAATATTAATTCCTCTAATAACAGTAAATATGTAGTATCATATTTATTTAATAAAAATCTATTGTTTCAATTCACTGTTAATAAATAAATTCAGGGTTTCGAATTATTGTATTCCTCTCTCCACTCTGTTAAATTCCCATTTTGAAATGTTAGTTTTTGCAATGAAAGAATAAAATATCCTCAGATTGGTATTCATTTTAGATAACATATTTAATTAACTCACAAGTTTTTTCCAGAACCTGTTAAACACTACTGCAGAATGGTACCTAATCAATGAGAATTGATGCGCAGCCCAATAACACAATGAGAATGATCATCAAATCTACTCTAATGGAATGGCTTCCATTATAGAGTCATATACCACCCCAAACCTGTGCTGCATAAATGCTCTCATATGAGAGTACAAGAAGATCTTGAGCAACCAAAAGCTACCAATACACCAGAAAACCACCAATCAAAACAGCAGCCTCTGCCACAGATGAAGAATTGAGCCTGAATAACGTGTGGGATTAAGAATGGATAACAAATAATTACAATCAGATCCAAAAATGTATTACCCAAAAGCCTCCTGATTTTGATTTATGCAAAATCTTATCAACTCTGAACAGAATATAATACATTATGCATAAATGGGGCAAGACATTCATTGTGGTGAAAATAAAACCGTAAAACAAGATTTCCTGTTGGCGACTTCAGAACCAATATCTTACATAAATGAACTAAAAACTGTTTGTAATTCGAAACTGTGGGATTGTAAATGCAATTGTAATAGTATTCTATGTATAATAATGGTCATTCTATTTTATTATTTTATTCTATCTTATATTTTATATTCTGATTGTGATTTCAGTTTTCATTGTCTTGATGCCATACACTAATTAAAATACATAATATCTGAGATATACATCGATTGATACATCACAAATAATAAGTACAGTCGACATCCAGTGTAGAATTTATTCTCAACTGTAGTTGCAGTTTTCAATTATTGAATTGATGAAAGAATTTTGAAATGTAATAATATATCCATTGTAACATTATCTTAAAATCCTCATTTAACAAGAATATGTGGTCATTAACAATTTGTTTCAAACATTTGGTATGAGGATTTGATTCCAATTTGTTAAATCTTTCTTTAAAAACTTTCTAAAACTCAATTTCTTTGAAAAATGACTTTTTGATTCAGAGATTCCTTGAATAACTCATTCCCAACAGCATAATCCATAAGATTTTTGTGTGTAATTGATTTGAAGCAATTAGTTTATGTAAGAATATCCAATTCCAAATTATAAGATGAAATATTTATTGTGCCAAATACTTCTGAGCGAAATTGAGCAGCATTCAAAACAAAGATTCCTTAAACTGAATTCATTTCGTTTTAAAAAGATGCTTTGAATATTTTTCTACATTCTTCAAAAGGGAATCATCTATAAAAAAATATCAATAACATAAGAAAGAGTTTATTAAAGTTCAAATGTAGTTTAGCGACACCCCAAATACTTACAACCTTGTTTTTTAGCCATCATTATGCTTGAGGGATTCTTCTAACTCAAAGAGTTATAGATTAGAATGAATTTTTTATGTTTTAAATTCTTTTTCTCAAGTTCTTGTGCAAGTCTTCTCTAAGAGTGTATTGTAAAGTAAATAGATATTTGATTAATACGTTTCTAATTTATTAAAAAATATGTAAACATGAATAACTTTGAAAAAGTTTATTATTGAAATGGAAATTTGATGATAAAACAAAATTAATAACCACACTAAAAATCAGTGTAGTTTTGTGACAGATTATTATTAATTATCAATCAAAGTTCCATGGTAATATTGGAATTCCTGTTGTTTGTTTGTTTGCATAGAGTTTTTAAAAGCACCTCCACCAAAACAAACCCATGTTTATGGTAAATTAATGGTATTTTTAATGAAAAACTTACGTTGCATGTGTATAAGCTGTCTGGGCTGCTTGTAGTTTGCCGGATAGAGCCTGTCGTGCACATCTTTGTCCGGTATTTCGGAGACTTCTGGGGTCGGGATGATGAGACCCGCACAAATAGCCCGTTGCAGATGATGTTCCTGCCGTCCCATTGGACATCACAATTTGCATTACTCAAATGGGTAAGGTACAGGTCGACAGAAATCGGTATGTTTTGAAAAATAAAAGTGTTGTGAGAGGATATAAACAGAAGAGGAGGTTCGTTATTGAGAGAGTGACAGCACTCGAACATTAAATATTTAAATTTGTCGTGGAATTTTGAGCGAAAAACGCTTGGTTAAAATGTGATTCGATAGTGTATAAGTAGTGAAAATGAATTTTAAAATATTGATGTGCCGGTCGCGAGCGGAAGCGCGAATTAAAAACAAGATGGCAGACGTCTAACGTAAACGTCATACGTAAATGTCAAAAACTTACGCACTCCTCTTCCTTTTCCATTCCCGATGGCATTTGAGGAACTGCCCGGTTGATGGCCGAGTAATCGGGCAGGTCAGGAAGTTCCTCGGCCATATAGATGGGCATTGGTTTGCTGGCATCGAGGGCCCTCGCCCTAAATGAAAGCTTGGACATTTTGGTTGACAGCACCCAGTACACGGCAAGGCCAACATAAAATGCCCCCCAAAAGCCACTTTCCCGTGTCTCGGTACTCCCGAGACGGGCACTAAACGGTTCCTCGAGGCCCCTAGTGCGTTCCCATCGTTTTTGTTTGCACTCACTCAGTCACAAATACAGTAAAACAACTTTGAAACTTTGCATGTTGAGCGTGTAATACGGAAAGCCATCATGGCGGCTCTGCCATGGAACCATAGAAATTTACTACCAACGTGCTGTGCGCGGGAACCGTTTACGCACCATACAGTAGAGTTGTTCATTCATACTCGCGATACAAAATTTCAGATTTACCACCTAATTAAACCGAATTTTACGCTCAAAACATTCTAAATAATCAAAAATTAATTTTAATTTAATTTTTTTTCAATCTCAATGCTAAAATTTTCATTTTTTCCCCGTATTCATTTCATCAAAAGTCGCTCGTTTGAACACCGCCGTACTCGGATTTCACGACAGTGGCAAGCGTACCTAAACGTAAGTAAATCGAGATATACGCGTAAATAACGATTATTTAAAATCAAAATTAATCACATACGTAGCATTTTGTCTCGGAAAACTTTAAAAATAACCATTTCCTACTGTCATTTAGTATATCAACTTATTTCGTCGTTTTATTTCCGCATAAACATCGGCTTGGTGGGGAGCGAAATCCAAGGTTTACGCGATTCCCGCAGCGAATTGTGGCGCTACGTTCAACAGGAAGTCGCGTCACCATACACGTGGAAGTTTTGAGGGTTAGCGCCATCTGTTATTGGAAAGATTAACTTCAAAAAAATGTCTAATATAATTTAAATTCATGTATTATTATTAAATAAAAGATACATTCTATTTTCTAAGCTTATTTATTAGTGTTTTATTCTGCGTTGGTTCCATTACGTTTCAATCCTCTAATACTAAGATCATAAACAACTTCTTCAATTTTTTTGACGTCGTATTTTAAAACATCAAATCTCTTCCTCAAGGAATCATTCTTAAGGTTAAGTACTCTAAATCCTGCATTTATTTCAGCTACAAATTTCGAAATTTGAATTGGCCTATCATAATCACCATTTGTGACTGAATTTACTGCAAAACGACTCTAAAAACGTTAAATTAATACCAATATTTTGCTCTTTTAACAATAAATATTTACCAACTCGGTTGTTAATTGAAGCACCCCCATTAAATAATCTTCTAGATCAAGATGCAAACCATTTCCAGGAGTGGGTTTCACTAAAAAAGGTTTTTTTTTAAATTTTTAATTTATAGATTTAATAACATACATCCTAAGATATCAGCAACAGTTTCTTTTGAAACTAAGATTCCCACTTCTAAAAATATAACCAAAGCGACCAAGAAACACAAACGTTGAGTAACAAATTTCCAATGATCGTTGAATCTATAATACTCTCCTTTTGGAATGACTTCATTTAATTTTGAATAACTCAATCGTACTGCTTCAAATTTGTTTCTCGCTTTCAAACAGCCATCAGATACTAAACAGAAAAAATAAAAAAAACTAAAAATTTGTATATTTTTAAGTTTTACCAAATTGAAGTCCATTTTCCTGATGAATAACTTGCAATATTGTTAGTATTTCTCGGGCAGTATTTTCAATATCTTTTACGTTAACACGGATCTCCTTAAACATAAACAAAGTTATCATTAAATAAACTGTTTCAAAAATATTTCATGTGATTACTTCTCTACGATCTTGTTCATTGTTTAAATGAACTTGGAAACTATCAAATACTTCACCTAACTTATTCATTTTGAACAAACTTCGGAAAACACAAACGTTAATGTTTAAGTGAATTGAGAAGCTTTAACATAACCTCAAACGTTTCATTTGACAGTTTATCAAATCAATTTTAAAATATTTCAATTTCATATTAGCAAAAATGTTGAAAACAGATCAAAATTATTAAAATTGATGATATCTAACACATATTTATTAATTAATATTAAGTTAAAACCATATTAATTCAAAATTTTTCTATTTGAATTATAGTTTTGTTGGTAACACTGTTTGTCAATATTTTTCTTTAAATGTCAAATTTGTTATGTAAACAATGCCGCTTATACAGAATTTAACTCGAAATTTGCTCATAAAATGTAACCCTAAAATGACCATAGCTCGTCTAGCTATTAATGCGACAGTTAAGCCTTTAAAAGACATTAAATCAGAATTGGTTATTACTGACAAGTGTGTGGAGAGGTTAAAAAAGGTCACCGATCAAGAATCTTTCTTAAGAATCACGGTTGAGGGTGGAGGATGTTCTGGATTCCAATACAAATTCGATTTAGATTCGAAATTAAAAGACGACGATAGGTAGTTTAAATAGGCTTATAAGTTAAGTTTTGAATTTTACATCTTTTTTTTTAGAGTTTTTGAAAAAAATGGAACTCGTGTTGTGATAGATGACCTTTCTTTAGATTATGTTAAAGGTTCAACTGTAGATTATCAAGAGGAACTTATTAGATCTTCCTTTAAAATTGTTAATAATCCGTTAGCTGAGCAAGGTTGTTCTTGTGGTGCATCTTTCGCTATTAGATTAGATTAAAAAATTTTAAGAGTTTATTTATTTTGTACAGTGTAAATTAACACAAATTTAAAACGAAACTGGTAAGCCTCTAGCTACAAAAGCAGCTTGAGTAAGAAGTTGAGATGGAGTTCTTTTTGCATTACATAAAGCTCTTAATAGCTCAACTTCATGTGAAGGTTTAATATTCTGTTTTGTTGAAGATTTAGAAAAGGTTACTAAAAAAATAAAAATATTAAAATAGTGGAACATTATAAATTTATAACATACTTTCACCATTTTGCTCCCAAGATTTCCTATCCACAAGATTCCAATTAAAATTTTCAGTGGGTGGCAACCAAAGATTGAAAAGCTGAGTTGAAAGAACATCTGTATCAATATCAGTTACAGTCCATTGCGCCCCAATAATCGATGGACAACATCCCAACAAATACATTTGATGAGTCCCATACATTTCTAATTGAGCTCCCAATTTTAAATAACTCGTACTACCACAACCAAACAAACATACAACACATTTAATAGAAAGATTTTTTATTTTTTCCACTGGGTAATGTTTGGAACCAGATCCATGACCATGATAACTAAAAAAATTGTTGTGAGATAGTATTAAAAAAAGATATTTAAATCATAATTTACCTAAAAACGTCAGAATTAAGAATGGATTGTTCAAAATTATTATTGGGAGTGGGTTCCCGCCACTCTGGGGCTCGTTTTTCTATAAACGTTCTTATTCTTTTTTCCATACTGGTTAAATCTTTATCAGGATTTAAAATGTAATTCCCGTTACAACAATTAAACCAAGAAATACAGCCGTTTTTTATGCGTTTTTCATATTGCTTAAATAAAGCGTAAACGAAATGTAACGATGGCAAACGAGTTACTGGTTGATTGTGAAGAACATCTATCATTTCAAACGGAATTATATCTAATTTCTAAAAAATATTTTATGATTTAACAAAACAATTCAAACCTAATCTAAGTATTAAAATTAAAAGAAATTAATTAAATAGGCGTCCCAAATGTGTTGTAAAAAAACAAAATTTCTATACATGGGGAAAAAATTCTATGTACGCTACTCAATTCTTTGTAAAATAAGTTCTTTTTGCTATTACATTTGATATATCCACACGTAATCGTTAACCTTGAAGAATTCTAGCGCCTCGCCCGCAAGCGTTTCGGCGATTTTAGCCTCTTTTAGTTGACATTTTATCTCTACTAATTGTAAGATATATAATAAAGGCGCTAGATTTGATGTATCACAGTTTACAAAATTGTCAGCTTAAGAAATTCTAGCCTGTTTGAACGGCGCAATCTCGGCGGTTTGAAGATAAATGTTTTTTTATCAGAATCTTTGTCAAGATATGTAAGGAACGATATCGCATCAAATCGCCGAGGTCGCTTGCGGGCGAGGCACTGAATTTGATATTTCCACACATAATCGTTAACTTTGGTAGACTCTCGCGCCTCGCCACAAGCGACCTTGGCCGTTTGAGAGTAAAACTCTTCTTTTAAGATACTTTTTATCTGTACTAAGATATATAATGAACGATTGCGCTTCCAATGGCCGATGTCGATTGCGGGCGAGGCACCCGATTTGATATATCCACACGTAATCGTTAACCTTGGAGAATTCTAGCGACCTCGGCGATTTGTGGGTACAAGCCTTCTTTTGGTAGATTTTTTTATCTAACCACTAAGATATATAATGAACGATTGCGCCTCAAATAGCCGAGGTCCCTTGCGGGCGAGGCGCTAGATTTGATATATCATAGTTCATTTACAAAATCGTCAGCTTAGGAAATTCTAGCCCGCTTGAACGGCGCAACCTCAAATAATATAGAAAATATCTTAGTCGAAGAGAACGCAATTGATAATACCGTGGATAATACTTAAATCTGAATTTTCAAATTTTTATTTTGGCCAGAACCCTGTATAGTTCTAATGGACGGTCGTCGTGGATGACCCTGTATAAGGAACGATTTCACTTACAGTTAATTTGATATATTAACAGAAAATCGTTAGCTTAGGAAATTCTAGCACCTCGCCCGCAAGCGACCTCGGCGGTTGAAGGTAAATAATTTTTTATAAGAATCTTTTTATCTTTCCCAAAATATATAAGAAACGTTTTCGCATCAAATCGTCGAGATTGCTTGCAGGCGAGGCGTTGAATTTGATATATCACAGTTTATTTACAAAATCGTCAGCTTAGGAAATTCTAGTGCTTCGCCCGCTAGAACGACGCAACCTCGGCGGTTTGAAGATAAATGTTTTTTTATAAGAGTCTTTGTATCTTTGCGAAGATATGTAAGGAACAATTGCGTCTCAAATCGCCAAGTTCGCTTGCGGGCGAGGCGCTAGAATTGATATATCAAAATCGTCAGCTTAGGCAAATCTAGCGCCTCGCCCGCAAGCGACCTCGGTTTGAGTGTAAAAATCTTCTTATAAAAGACATTAAATCATTACACATTTATCGTCGTTACGTTTATCTTATTAAAAACGAGATCATGACATGTAAGCTACTTTTTTTTATCTCTTTTAGTTTCAGAGATAGCCTATGTGGACAACAAATTTGGGATACCCCATACAAAAGATTACCTCTTCAACTATTAAAATAACGGAATTTAATTTAGTAGTATTAAGTAATGATTTTGTTTTAGAAAATTGATAAATAGCCCTCGAAACTAAAACAGCAGTTTCATTGCTTGAAAAACAATATGATACACATTTTTTTATTTCGCACAGTTTTAAATGACTGCTTCCTAATAAGATGCGTTTTAAAATACTTTTAGTTTTTTCGGTTATTTGAGATTGATTCGGAACATCTTGGAGAATTACTTCTAATGCTTTATCAATAACTTTCTCATCTTTTCCAATTGGAGTACCTATTAATAAACATCTCCAACCACCCAACCATTCATTTTGAATATCTTTAATGAGACACTAATAAAATAAATAATTACGTTTAATTTTTTTTTAAATAAATCTAAAAACCTTAAGTCTATTATTTAAGTCTGATCTAGAAGATGCATAATCCTTTTTTTGACTATGAGTTGAAATTGTTTTACTCGATGACAATAAAGTGTTATTATCATTAACAATTGAATCCATCTCTCCTTTAATGTTCATTACTGCACCTGATACATCTTTAGGAGCTAATACTTTTACTGAAAATGGTTTTAATTGTTTTTTATTTCCACATGGAAAAACAGTTATAAATAAATCATTTGTAAATGATTTATTTGATTGAACACAAACGTTTTCTTCGGGATTATATTTTGTAGTTATTTGAACAATCGTCCACTCTGTAAATATTTTTGAAATTAATCATTAACAAAAATATAATTAAAAAAAATACCTTCCGGCATATCCCTAATTTGGTTTTGCATCTCTAATATATTAGTAATACTAGGTGATTTATCATTGGGAAAATCTAAATATTTCCAATTTAAACGCATTGAATCTCCACTTCCATTGTCTTTTGCAAAATGTGTAACAGCTCTTGTTCGTAAACCAGGTGCATGGGATTCTTTTAAATAGTAAATACCAGCTAATTCATCTTTTTCAAACACTAAATCCGCATAAATCTTATTTACATCTGTAAATACTATTAATATAAACACCTATAATAAATAATTAATAAAGTTACCTTGATAAATGGGGCCACATGGAAAATGTTCAAAAACAATATCTCCTAATATTTTTTGGATTTCCTCACTAAATTCTCCTTCACTCATCGCAGCAGATCTAAGTGGAGACGATTCACGACTGCAGGATTTCGACAATCTTAGTCTATCCATATTTAAAAGACATTAATAATAAATATATTTTTTGTGTTTTCAAATTCTTACCAAACCGTCATTTACGTCACTTTGACATTGCCGATAAAGAAGTAATCATGATTTTGTTTAAATAATTACATCTAATTTATAATTTTATTTATCAAAAATTAATTGAATTAAATAATATTTAAAAAACATAATAATAATTTAAAAAATAAATGAGAACAAAAATTAATTTTTTCATTTAACATACAAATTATCGAAATGTCAAATAATTTTTAAGGTTAGAATTTTGTTTGAAAATGAATTTACCCGATTCTGATTCTGAAGATGAATTACCTCCAGGATGGGAGGAAAGAGTTACTACAGATGGAAATGTTTATTATGCAAATCATTTAATCAAGCAAACTCAATGGACGCATCCAAGAACTGGTAAGAAAAAAGTTGTAAGTGGAGAACTTCCTTTTGGTTGGGAACGTTGTGTAGATTCTAATACGGGAAAAGTTCTTTATGTTGATCATGAAAACAAACGTACTACATATACGGATCCTCGATTAGCGTTTGCAATTGAGCAGAAAGAACATTCAAACGATTACAGGCAGAGATTTGATGCTTCAAGTACAGCTCTTCAGGTAAAATTTGCTTAATTCAGAATTAGTTTAGAACAAGAACCTTTTTAGGTGTTACATGGTAGGGATTTAAGTGGAAAAGTTGCTTTAATAACTGGAGCAAATACTGGGATTGGTTTTGAAACGGCCCGTTCGCTAGCTAAACATGGTTGCACAATAATTTTTGCTTGTAGAAACTTAAAAGCAGCAAATGAAGCCATTGCTACTATAAATAAAGAACGTCCTGGTGCAATTGAAAAATGCGAAGCAATTTCATTGAATTTAGCATCGTTAAGAAGTGTGCTATTTTTTGCTGAAATTGTTAAAGAAAAATACAAAACTTTAGATATTTTAATTTTAAATGCTGGTGTTTTTGGTCTTTCTTATGAAAAAACTGAAGATGATCTTGAAATGACTTTCCAAGTGAATCACCTCTCTCAATTTCTTTTAACTCTCCTTTTACAACCCTTATTAACAGTGGGCTCAAGAGTTGTTATTGTTTCTTCAGAATCCCATCGTTTTGCAAATCTTTCTTTAGAGACATTATGCCCTTCAAATCTTTCCCCAGATTCATCTCACACTTACTTTGATATGCGAGCTTATAACAATTCAAAATTATGTAACGTTTTATTTGGCAGAGAATTAGCTAAGAGATTGCAAAATCAAGGGATATCAGTTTTTAGTTTACATCCAGGGAATATGGTTTCAAGTAATATAGCTAGAAATTGGTGGGTTTATAAGCTTGCATTTGCTTTAGTACGACCATTTACGAAATCATTACAACAAGCTGCCAGTACAACTATTTATTGTGCTACTGTTCATGAATTAGTTGGAGTAACCGGAGTTTATTTTAATAATTGTTATCCGTGTGAAGAAAGTGCTTTAGCAAAAAGAGATGATATGGCTAAATTGTTGTGGAAAGTTAGTGTGGAGATGATCCAAAGAGTTTTAGGTGATGATTGTCAATTAGAATAATAATTTGATAACATAATAAACGATTTTTTAGAAAATTGATTTGCTTATTATAAATTTATTTTGCCTAAAATATCGAAGGTGAAAAATTAGATTTGTGACTTAAAGAGTTATGCAACCAAACTTACTTCAATTTCAGTAACTGATTTTTCAGTACTAATTGATTAAATTCAAAACGTTACTAAAAATCAAATTTTTGGAAATCTTAAATAATATTTTATTATTAATGTATAATGTAATTTTTGATAAATTTAAAAAGTTCATTTTTTATTTTAACAGTTGGCAACATTCTTTGTCAAAATTATAAAAGTCGAAAAATTGAGGTTATCTTAATACCGGAGGTTATAAAGTCACGTTGAAATTATACTTAAACTTCAATTAAATCTCAAAATATTTTTAATTACTTAAAAAAATGGTTGAACAACAAAGACAAAGGGTTGAACAAGAAATGACCAAAATGGTTAACGAAATTGATAGAGACTTTTTAAGAAAAATGCAGGTAAAACGGTTAATTTTCTTTTTTCTTTAAATTTAGTCTCAATATGACTTTATGGTATGATTAATAAATAGGGTACTATGCATCGTTGTGCTGCAAAATGCTGTGATGATAATGTTATGTCGTTAGAAAGTGTTCAACGTTGTATAGAAAATTGTGGGGTTCAATTAAACGAGAGTCAAAATTATGTTCAAAGGGAATTAGAGGGTTTACAACATAGGTTACAAAGATGTGTTATGGATTGTAATGATACTGTAAAAGATAAAATGGGACCAAATCCAGCAAATACAGAGGTAATTTTTATTAATTTAATACATAAATATTTAACAACTTTCTTTTTAGATATCAAAATATACATTAATGTTTGAAAATTGTGCTGTTAAATGTGTTGATAAGCATTTAGAGTTAATTCCATCAGTGATGAAAGCTATAAAGAACGTTTTGTCACAAAAAGTGTAATATTTTTTTATTGAAATACTTTGATATTTCAATTAGTGCATTTTATATTAGTTTGAGATTTATTATATTTACCTAAAAGATGTTCATTATAAGATAAAATCAAAAGAAAATCGATTGTTTAAATAATTACTTCTTTTATTTTAATAGTAGTGTAACTTTAAGATATATAAATATTTTCTAACACACAATATTATTAGAAAAAAAGGACAAAAATTTGGAATGAATCACTTTTTAGAAGTTAATTTATGTTGCAACATCTCAATTTGATCACATTGTTTAGTAATTTTCTCATTTTGAGCTGCCATGTGTTCGGTCATAGCATCTAATTGAGATTTATAATTTTGGTGGGTTGTGTGAAGTTCTTCAGTGCTTTTGTCTAAAATCCTTTCCAAAGCGTTTTTTTCTAAAGTTATGTGTTCTAGCCTCGTGGATAAAGCATCATTTTCCGCCCATAAAATACTGGTTTCAGCAACAGCAGTTTGTTTTTCATCATAAATTTTTGTTAGTTGTGATTCATAATATTCTGTTAAATTTTCGTTTGATGTTGGTTTTGAACGCAACATATTACATTCTGATGACCACCTTTCTGATTCTTGTTTATAATAACTTAATTCCTTTTGTAGTTCATCATTTTTTTTACATTTATCACAAAAACTAGTTGATTTATTAATTGAATTTTTCATTGAATTTTCTTTACTTTGTTCTAATTGGATTTTATGAACATTTTTTATTTCAATTATATCATTTTGTAATTTATCTACCCTTTCTTCTAACCATTGAATTTTTTCTTTATTGCTTGATATTTCTAAATCTTTATCATCCATCTTAAATATTCAAAAAAAGTATTTTAATATTGTTATATTAAATAGTAATAAGTGGTGATCCAAAAGTAGGAGATTCAACAGTTGCAAAATAAACTTTGGATAAGTATTTCTTGGTATATCTTGAAAAATCAATTCTCCCCACATAGCTTATTTCAGCTTGGGGTGAATATCAACCATGTTGATTTTTAAAGTTACACTGAGAAATGCTTATTATGCTATTATTGAACCAGCTACATCTTATAAAATTTCATACTGAAAAACTAAGTAAATTCAATCTTATGGCCTACTTTTGTATCACCTTATTTAATAAGTATTTTATTTACAGCACTATGAAGTTGGGCATTCTCTAAAATTTTTTTGTGTAATTCAACTTCCAACACATTAAAATTAGATTGAACTGGGCTATCAGTTGCTTTATTTTTCCCCTTTTTTCCCTGCCCACTATTCTGCAATTCTTGTTGCAACACTGAAATCCTCTTGGTTAATTGGTCATTTCTAAAAGTTAAACTATCCATTTCTTGATCATGTTTCCTATTTTTCTGTTCTTGCTCCTTTATTATTTCTCTCAACTCCAAAATTTTTGATTGTTCATCAAGAACCGCCTTTTTTAATACAGTTGCATGGGATCTCATCTAAAAATGGGTGTATCAAAAGTAAACAATTGCTACAATTCAACTGTTTTATTTCTTTTGTTATTGTACCTTTGAGTATTCAGTGGCCAACTTTTGGTATTTTGTTTCTAAATCTACCGATTTCTCCATTTTTTTATTTGACAACTTAAATATGTATCGATATATTACTATTTTCCCATTTTTATATGAAGATGCGATTAAAAAAGTCTTTGGTTAGGATTTTGACAGATCGAGGTAAGCTTAGAATTGAACCAATGTGATATTCAACTGTTTTTAAACAAACGAATCAAGTACAAGTTGTGGTGTTTTGATTATAGATGGCGTATCTGGATTCATTTTGGACTTTTCAGCTTTTTAATGGACTTTGGAATTATATTATTTTTAATTAAGGTGAGGATATGAGTAATGAAATTTTGATGTTGGGAATCCTCGACCTTGAAGAAAGTCAATAATAAGATTTAGCCAAGCAAATCAATTAATTGCAAAGTTGATGGATATAATCTGAGAGTTCAATGAAAAATATGCGGTGGAAAAAGGTTTTAATTGCTTTAACATTAGTTAGGGCAAAAAAAGAACAATGTGAAATATGTCCAAAGAAAAATCATTATCCATTGATTCACAAATTTATGCAAGACACTATTGTAAAACAAGTTTGGAGATCGACCGGCACAGATGACCGCAGAGGTTCGTTAGCGCTACAAAAAACAATAAAGCTCCTCCACCTAAGCCTCCTTCTCAATTTTTTTTCTTTCCTCGTTTATTTTCCCTTCCCTATACCCATTGTATGAGATCTCGCCTAAAACCGGGCCTGCGTTCGCTCCTCGAATCATTAAATTGGCAAGCGGAGATATAATGAAGACTTGAGGACCACACACGTCGTTGCAGTGATTGGTTCGAACGCCACGCCCAACGACAACGTAACCGAGGTAGGGGCAAGTACATTTTAAGGTGGGGGTTACAATGTTATACGGTAGGGGTAACGATGTTGCGTGGTGGGAAGGAAAAATTGGATGGTGGGGACCAAAATTGATTGGTGGGGGATTAAAATTGCGTTTGGTGGGAGGTGAACAATTGCCGGCCGACAAGGGTTTTTAAATGGTGGGGAGAAATAGAGAGGCATATGTTTAAGGTGAGCACAGCCGGCTGAGGTTGGACGACGATCCCGACGTCTGATTTATGTTTCGTCGGTGCGGCTAAATTAATATATTGGATTAGTATACGGATTTTCTGTTCGTGTACTCGTGTTTAAAGGAGGGTCTGGTTCGCCAATCGCTTTATTTTCCGCCGTGGCATCGTTCGTAAATAATGTCGTTAGTCTCGGTGCGTTTTGCTTGCAGTCCTCTTTCAATTCAATCGGAACTAATTGTAAAATATTTTCCTTTACTAAACGCGACATACGGCTTATATCTTTCGTATGAACATCTTTACCAATCTTTAAAAAATATATCTCTGTATAGGGTTAATTCATAATATTTTTTTTTTAATATAATTAGAATATTAAAAGGGTTGACCCAAAAATAATTGGCAATTAGTTTTCAGCATTATAATGATATAATGTCAACTAATGTGTTATTAGTCTTTCAAATCTTGCGGTCAACTCTACTATTGTATGTCAAAAATATGATAATAAGCTTAGAACGGAATAAAATTGTTTTAACACGTTGACTGCCATGAGAAGCGTTACTTGATGCACGGCAAAATTTCCACAATAGCCACGAGAAACACCAGTTGATTCTCATGCCTATTTAATTTTAAAATTGTTCCGGCCAGAATTGATAGACTTTTAGTGACTATTGCGGCAGTCAACGTGTTAATGTCTCGGGAATACCTGAGTGTTCAGATTGATTTGTTTTTTTTTTCTATATTTTGTGTAATAACTTATACTATGAGATGTAGGAATGTTGGTACCATCGACACAGTATTCATTTCACAACACACATAACTACTATTAGTAGTTAGTATCATGTCGAAAGAATCTAAATTACATCTTTATTACACCATCTATGCATAACCGTTACACATTTGTACAGATTTTGCCCAAGATTGCGTTCCAGAAGAAGAGCAAACTACGAATTAATGCACAACTAAAAGATTAAGTGAGATATTTGGCGAATCGGATTCAGATGTGGTTTAAAAGAAATAATTTCAGAAACAGAACATAATTTTGAGTTACAATTCGATGCGTTGGATATATTCTATATGTGAGCAAGTGTATGTGTTTATACTATCAAATTAATTAAATAACTTGTGCTAAAATGTATAAACAAAATTTATAATAAATGAGAAGAATAACTATGCAACTTAATTAGCGCGGGTGTTAATATAATAGCAGTACGCAGCTTTGATGATATGCATGTTAACGCAGTGTCTGCCTAAAATTTTGGATTGGTGTCAAAAAATGCGAAAAGCATGAAATGTTCTAAAATAATTCTGCAATTAGTGCAATTCATGCTTTCTTATTGCAGAACTGTTATGATTAATTAATAAAGTTAATCAAGTGAATACTTAGGTGCTATAGTATATTTTGCTATTGTAGTGTATATTAATTAAAACAAACATACGACTTATTCTGAATATTTTCAGATACAGATACAGAATACATCAGGATGACACACTCTTTTTTTCTTTTTTGTTCCAGCGTAATCTTTTTCCTATCTATTGCAGAAAGTAAGGCATCCTACACAACATCACCTTTCAAATAACATTTTGCAAATTTAAACGAACTACAAATTTTCGCAGTTTAGAAAATCTTCCAACACTTGTAAATCTTTATTTATATAAATGTTATCACCAACATGGGCATTTAACACAGTCGTATGATTTTCAGTTAACTACAATTAGTTTCTGTATCTCTACAATTTCCATCAACCTTATCATGACTATTATTAGTCTTTGGTAAAGCATCAAATTCGCATCATTATTTGACTTATTGTTAAAACCATTAAACCTCCATGTCACATATGTCTTAAATAATGATAAACGATTTCTTAAATGTAACAACCTCGATTTAGCTATGTACACCCTTATATAGCGTTCTTGTTTTGTATTTAAAAAGTACTTCGTTTATGGTTTGAAACCATACCAACCATACCTTTAATCTGTTTGATATGTTAGTTTTTCAATTGTTTTAACAATTTGTTATGGTTTGCGTGCTTTGTTGAATCGAATGGTTTGATATGTTTTTAATCATTATCTTGTAAAAATCTACTAAATTCTGCTGACAAAAAGTAGAACCATTATTACTTGTCAAATTATGTGGGAAACCCATAATGGTATTTGTCCTATATAATTTTTCAAAGTGTTTTTATGGCATATGTATCCTTTTTGCACCCCATTTTCTTCTGGTATCTACAATTAGCAGATATAAAGCACATACTTCTAAGCTGAAATCATAACATAATTATGTTTTACAACCTCTTGAGATGCGAATGTCCAGCTTTCAAGCCATCTCTGCCATCTCTGCCATCTCTGCCTTCTTGTTTGCTAACTTGCCTGATGATATTGCGAAATTGTCAGATTTGTCGTTTGTAAAAGTGTCGAAAAATATTGCCTTATTATCTTTAATTGTTTTTGTTTTAATTTGATTACTCTCTTTATGTTGTTTTAGTGTCTCTACTTTTGCTATATCTTGTCACACATCTGGCACCTGTCAGCACTTGAATGGCCAAATTTGATATTAAAGTTTGCACGAAAGTAACGTTGGAAAACATCAAGTCACCTTACCCATCTGGTCGTAGATTTAAAAACCATTTGATGATTTGCAGGTAAATTAAAATGAAATCTTTAATTGACATAGTTCGTTCTACAATATAGAAATTGTCTTAAGGAAAAAGTCTTCATGTAACCACACATTTTTTGACACAGTTTATCAGCTATTTTAAATCTGATGATGTGATGACAAAACCTTTTCTATATACTTGGATATTTTCTTGGTCCTTCCGAAATGATCCAAACCCATTAAAATGTTTGAGCAAATCTTTTCAAGCAAAATTTGCAATTTTGAATATTTCTTTTCCAGCCGGCTTCATTAAGCGTCTTCAACTAACTTTCATTCGTAACTTTCAATCTTTGAATCACTATTGTGATTCATAATAATGTAAACAATCAAAATATAACTTCTAACTGGTTACAACATGTGGCATTGCATCGATGAGCAAGCGGGTAGCTGCGCAGAAACTGTCTCGTTCTTGCTTCATCAAGTAGAGGAGTTGATGCTATCTAGTGAGAATGTATAGTTCTTGCTTTTGACCAATTAGAGTGCTAAATCGCTGTTACTATGGATAGTAGATCCAAAATATTGTAAAAATGGAAAAGATTAGACAGCTCTCTTAGATTGTTATTATTATTTGTGTTATTTCTGCCACCCTCTCAATTAAGGTGATCATTTACAGATGGAATAATAATATTTAATAATCTTATCTACAACTCCATACTTGTGTTAGCCATTTCAATATCAGCTCTCCATCCTTGTTGTTGCGCTTTATCATATCTTTTGGAAAGCACTTTGAAAGTACATCAAGGAACTTAACTCAAACCTCTTCTTTCTAATGTTTAATTTAATCTTGATACATTCTCGTTTCATCGTCATTTGCAATTTGGCACAAATTAAAATTTTTTTTTTAAATCAATTTGAAGCTTTTGACAAATTGTAGTTTTGCACTTCAGTTTTTTAAGATACCTCATCGAATATTCAATAAATTTGTATTTGAACCCATTGTAACGGCGCATCTAATTATATATTAAAGTGCACTTAACTTGTTCATTTTTTGCACAATCGGATATCATTGTCCATTACCAAGCCGACTTGAGTGGGCGAAGTATATATACAAAAATTTATTAAATGTACATTAATGTATTATGGTATTGCGTGTAGTGTTAAAGTAATATTACACTCTACAGTATTTTCATTGTCATCGACTATTATAATAGATGGCGCCATTAGATGGGTCATTTCTTCGGTCGCGATCATAAATATTCTCGTTTGACGTTAATGTGACTGGAGTCGTAATAAATTGACGGTCAACTGAGTTGTGAGTGAAAAACTAAAATGGTAGGTATAAATTACGAGGAGGATATATTTTTCGGCAATATCATAAAAGCGACTCATTTCATTTAAAATTTCCAATCATAATTTGATGGTGTTAACAAGTTGTTTAGAATTTGTGTAATGGTCCAAAAGGATGTTGAGTTGATTCGATTTTAGTAGAACAGGTGATGCTTATCCGC